AGTCCCTGCAGTTTTCTTGGCAAGGCTTTCTAGAAGTGGTTTGCCCTTGCCTTCTTCCTAGAACTGAGAGAGAGTGACTGGCCCAAGGGCACCCAGCTGGCTTTGTGCCTAAGGTGGGACTAGAATTCATGGTCTCCCAGTTTCTAGCCTGATGCTTTAACCACTACACCTAAGTGGCTCTCTATTCTAAGGAATAGAGGACCATTTAGTTTTAAATTGTTTTCCACATAAAACAACAGTATTTCTAAAATTCAGCAGCCCAGATAGAGAGGTTGCAGGGGCCTAAGAAAACAGGCCTTAGGGTTGCATGAAGCTCCAGGGCTGGAGACTGTCTGCCTTTGAATTAAGGCACTGACTGGAAAGGCATCCACAGAAGAGATGGGCTGAGGGTGGGGATGATGACATGTCTGTTGTGATGTAAACTCTGTTCCTTACAATGCACTTGCATGCTATGTTACTTCACAAGTGTTAAAAGGGCAGAATCCTGCATTTTGGCATCATTGTGGCTAGTTGCAGAGGCCTACGATTAAAAGAACTACTGTATTTGCCTATTGGAATTGTCTGCTCTGATTTAAGTGGCCCCAGGAATGTCTCTTGAACCTGGGACATTCTGCATACAAAGCACATACTCTGTCAGGAAGCAATCCCATTTTTTTCTATACAGCTTCTAAATAGCTGAACAGTTGTATCTGCTATGCCCATTTAGAGCTTGTTAGTGACTTTTGAAGAATCTTGTGCTTTCTTAGTATTTGTCTTCTAGAGCCAATACTGGACTTCTATATTGTTTTGAGACTGTGGAGTGTTTTCAAGCTTATCTCTTTGTGTTTGCTGAGATCCTCCACTCTTTCTCCAAGGCTGAAAAGCCATTCCTCTTGAAATATCATCAGAACAGCAATGTTTGCACGAGGTCCTACTTTGCTTCAAATATTTGAAAATTCTTCTACTGTAGTAGACAAATTTCACTGCAAAATGACTAGGGAATATTTATTTTAGTCTGATATGAAAAGTGCTTTTTACAATTTTATAGCAATCTTCAGTTTTCTTAGAAAATACAGGGGAAGATAGAGAGAGATGCAAGGAGACCTTACCTAGAGTCTGACCGGCGAGTACTCTCCCATTCTCCCCTAGGACAGCAGCCCGTGCATGCCTCTCATTTGAGTATTGTACAAATGCATAGCCTTTGTGCACAGAGCAGCCCACCACTCTGCCATATTTAGAGAAGATGGTCTCTACATCTGACTTCTTGACCACTGCTGTGTTGAGGTTCCCAATGAAGACCCTGGAGTTGATGGACTTGGGATCATTCTTGTTTGTGATGTTACTTGTCTGTACTTTCAGTGACATCTTGACACCTGAGTAAGCAAGATAGTGAGGATCAGGAAGGCACTAATATCCTATGATAAGGTCTATCAATGGAGGCAATGGTGTTCATATGAGCTTATTGGAAAGATGAGCCATCAAAAACTTGCAGAACACCAAGTGAATTTGAAACATAGTAATGTGCAGACTTTCACACACTGGAATAGTTTACACAGTATAAATCTTGTAACAATTTAAAGCAACCTCACTTGGACTCTTGCAAAGGAGTGCATGATAGTGGATCTTACACTCCTGGGCAACAGAAGCGGGTTTGCCTGTATTTATGGCCCTCTAAGGCTATGGCCCAAATATGTCCCAGCAGCATCATTTTTCTATAGTTTCCCCATGCCATTGCTTTCATCTCATCCCAAGCCTATTAGCAGTATAGGTTTAAGTTGTCCTTAGCTGTATTATTGCTAAAGTTTTGTTTTCCTGTTAATGCTGATGGCATCCAATGACAGTCACAAGTCCATTACACTGGAAGTCATCAATTTCAGGTGACCAGTAGTGGCATTACAGAGCCCTTACTGCCCATTCCAGGCTGATGTGGGCATCCCCCTCTGTATGGTCCTTTGTCATCCTCATCTACTGCCTTTCTGCTGTTTCCTTAACAAGCTGAACACAGCAGCCCTGTACCAGTGTTCTTTGGATTTGCACAAGAGAGGTAGAGGTATAGCACATTAGTTCACATTGGGTTCCTCTGCCACCCCTGCTCTAATTGAATGCAAAAAGCTGTCTATCACAAGCAGTACAATACGAAACTTCCTGTACAGAATAATAGAAGTAGACTGTAGCTGGTAAATTTAAAATTGTCTATCTGAATTGCATAACAGTGCAAAACCTCTTAGTACTTCTATAAATGCTTCCACTTTGCAGTTCTTGTTACTTTAGTGCAAGGCTGAACTAGTAAATTAGTGGAATGACAGGACCAATTCCCACTGACTCCTGAACAAAACACAGAAGAATCTGAAAGTTGGCATTTGTTGCCTATATAAATAAAGAAGACAAATACTAAATAAATGTGCCACTTGGGACTCAATTCCTCTCGTGATCCTGATTTTTTTTCACTTAGGTTTATTTAGTTATTTTAAAAAACTTCTACAACTGCCCATATTGTAACAACAACCCTGGGTGGTGCTCAAAACAGTAAAAACAATGAAACCCCGAAACCATCAGAATAAAACTCAGTAAAAACTATGAAAAACTCTATAAAAATTCATGGCACCCCAGGGTGGCACTTTTCCATTCATCCACATACCATCTTACTGCTTAGCTTATGATAGCATGACATGTGGGAGGAAAGGAACAGGAAGGGGCCTAAAGATGACAGAGAGTATCCTGCAGTCTAACTCGCCCCATTCCTCTGGTAGTGCTTTGATTGGCAGCTTTCCCCCCCACTGCTTAATTGTGTTCAGAAGAGGACAACAGAGCTGGAGGATTCATCCAATTACTTTGCCTATCACACAACCTAGGACAGCACATTTGGTAATGACTCAGAGGCAGGAATCAAGATTGGCAATGGAAGCAGAAAACCTGCATGCCATTATAATTTTCTGTTGACTCAAGCAGTGGGGTGAAAGCCCTATGGCATTCTGGTAATTGATCATTTAGGACCTTAAATAAGGAAAGCTGCAAATGTTTATACATATTTTCTTTGTGTATTATGTTTTAGTGACCTAAATATTGAATTTGTGGATGGATTTCTCTCCATCCTGCAGTCAGAGCTTCTGCGCTCATCTCCAATGGCAATCTAGACGCCCCTCCTTTTTTTTTTTTTTTTATCACACTAGAAAGAGCCTTCTTCCAAACAAGACTGTCAAGGATTTACTGGGGAAAGGCAAGAGACTATTAGGTTAAAGACATTTAACACAAATTACTAGGGTACATATACACTATTAGAAATATGAACATGGAGACATGCAATAACAGAAGGATGAAGAAAACTGAATCTAATACAATGACACATACAGTATTCTGAGGCATGGTGTAATTATTCAGAAAAGAAGTCCAATACGTAAAGATACTAACTACTTCCTTTCTTGATTTCTTTATTGCTGAATGAGAAGTTGCTACACATAAGTTTGCCAAGGTACTACTGGAGATTCAGTGAGTCCACCTTTGAGAGGTGCGATAAGAAAGAGTTGGCCACATCTCTTTTTCTTGAAATTACCTCCCTGCTTTTCCACAAGTTTCCTTTATTGAAGTTTGCTTCTTGTGTCAATGAGGAAGAAAGTGTTTAACTATTTTGGTTTCTGTTTGCCTAAATATAGCCCATTCCAAGGAGCAGATTCTACAAGGACCAAGGGCTCTGTAGCATTCTCTCATAACACCTCCATCTACATTCATGTACAGATTAAGAAGGCAGCGTTTTCTTACTGCTCTTCATTTCACCCAGTTCAAATCTGGCCCTTCGCAAGCATTTGCCATATTTGCTCAAGCAGTTCTGCTCTCTCTAGCAAGAGTCACCTGCCTAGGGCTTTGATTGCAAACAGCCATAAAGAGGATGGCTGAGTACTGTTTTAATATGCAGATCAGTGTTAGCCTTGGAATACCACTGAACACCTCAGATTCACCTCTCTCATTGTTTTCAGGCCTGATGAATAATTCATGCCCTCAGAGCAATCCAAATGGATTTGCACTCTGAGGATGCAATCTGAACAGAACACAGAGCCAGACTTCATATTTCATTCCTCATGATGCAGCATTGGCATAATCAGTATGAGTGTCTCAGGCCCCTGTTAGTAATTCTAAAAATCAAGACTCATGAAGCAAGAACCTGAATGCTCATTTGTTCCAGAGAGCCCACTAGTCATCCTGGATGGAATCCTTCCTTATTCATAGTAAGAGTGACTGGGGCATGTATGTGTGCAGGTGCTGTTGAATGTATGGAGGATGTTTGTGGTGGAATTGTAATATTAACAGCCCCATATTAACATGGCTTCAAGGAAGACTAATTATGAAAGAAGTGATACAGAATCAGGCTAGAATATTTACATGTACATTAACTTTATTTAATACGCTTCAGTGGAAATCTTGGTTTTGCTTGTATATATAATGGGCTATGCGGATTTAGAAAGATTGTATCTTCTGCTAAGATTTGTTAGCTGAGAATCACTCCAAAGTGATAGGCTCATTTTGCAGCCATGTCTCTCCCTTAGTTTTTTTCAATTTATCTTTTTTTGACATTGTAAATGGCTAACTTGATTTAGCCCCATTCAGGAAGCAAAGAATTAGAGCCTCTTCTATCACCACGTTAAGGTTCAGATTGGTGCCCTGAATTTATTCTAGGATAAGAAAGTTGCTGGTAGTTCCAACTTTAAAGCTATACATATTTCAGCCTTTTTAAAGTCTTCCTCAAGTCCAGCTGGACTCTTGGTAACTACATGGACAAGTCTATGTTGTTTTTTCAGTAACAATATGGAAAGGGTTTGCTGTTTTCTTCTTCCAGGACATTTTTCAATTTCCCCAGGAATTTTCTGGTGGTTTCCCACTGAGGTTTTACCCAGATCTGACCCTACTTAGCTTTTTTGAGATCAGGCAATATGACCTGCAGTGAATTTAGCTGTAGAATCCCCTGTAATTGAGAACATGGCAGCCATTCCTTTTCACAAAGTAAAGCAGACAAAAATTCTAATTTATCTTCACCCATCAGATTAAGTAACTACAGCTCTTTCCAGCAGGAGAAGCCTTGAATTACCTGCCTGCAATTGCAGCTGCTGAAGATGGAAAGAAAAAAAAGACAGCAATTCAAGTTCAGCACTATAAACTTGACTTGATAGACAAGGATTCAAAGGAAGCCAGATTCTTAAGAGAAGTGCCCCATGCAATCTGCCTTCATGCATTTCAGAAGTACATAACCTGTTAGGCCACAACAAACATAATTTCTTGCCATTGGTTATGTTAGATGGGGTTAATGGGATTTGAAATCCCAAAAATCTGGAGGGCACCAAGTTGCTTATCCCTGGATCAGTTTTGCTCTCTTCTCCATACACTTGCAAAATTTCAAGGTCTTTCCATCTTATTTCTGATCAACAATGTGAATGTTTTTTATTTTAATAAGAATTTACCAAACAGAATTCTCACCTGTCCATATTAAAAGACAAACATGGATATACTGCTCTTTTCTTTTCTGACTGGATGCTACATTGAATCCTTTTCATAAAAGGCTGGGATACGATGCCATGTTCTTGCTAGGGTTTCCATCTGAACAATGAGTTATCAATGAAATTCAGCATCTGATAAGTTTTCTCTCTTCTCATCCCTACTCTCTTCACAAGATGAAAGAAAAGAGTGGAGTGAGTTATTTCTCACTCCAGGAGCATCAGTTTTCACTGAGGTTTGACCTGATTGATTGCAAACACCTTCTGGTCAGTTGTTAAAAGCCTGAGTGACTGTGCTAGTTTCCACTCCACCCTTCAATGAATTATAGCTTGTCTTAACAAAAACATTAACTTGTTTCTGTCAGCAAATGGAGAAATAGTATGCTCAACTACATAATGGCATCTGAAAACTAATATTGCATCATTACAGAATACAGCTCACTCACTCATGGTGAAGTTCATTGCTGGATAGCAAACACTGTTTACAAGCACTGTTGTAAAGCCACACAAAATTTGATTCAGCCTAAATAACAGGTTCATTAATGCATAGAATATTCCTGCCAATGCTGTGTTCTGAAAGGAATATTATTTCTTTCCATAGTAGTTTATTTTTTTTTTCTGTTGCCATCATTATCGTACCAAATAGTAAGTTAATAATAATCAGGTAAGCTTGAGAAAAGTAGGTTAATGATTTTGCGGCTATTATTATTATTATTATTATTATTATTATTATTATTATTATTTAAATGTATATGCCGCTTGACTCCCAACAACTCTGGGTAGCTTACAATCGTTAAAACATTTAAAACAAAGAACAATAGAAAACACACACACACACAACAGCACAAGGCAGAAGAACAACAATGGCAAAGAAAATAAACCCAGAAGG